TGCAGAAAAAAGTGTTTCAAAAGGAAGATTGCCCGCCTGAACTACAATATGTGAGTCAAGCAGTTGCAGAAAAATGCAAAGGACTCCCCCTAGTGGTTGTCTTGGTAGCTGGAATAATCAAAAAAAGGAAAATGGAAGAATCTTGGTGGAATGAGGTGAAAGATGCTTTATTTGACTATCTTGACAGTGAGTCCGAAGAATATAGTCTGGCAACTATGCAGTTGAGTTTTGATAACTTACCCCATTGTTTAAAGCCTTGTCTTCTTTATATGGGGATGTTTTCGGAGGACGCAAGAATTCCAGCATCTAAATTGATAAGTTTATGGATTGCTGAAGGATTCGTGGAGAACACTGAATCTGGGAGATTAATGGAAGAGGAAGCTGAAGGTTACTTGATGGATCTCATTAGCAGTAACGTGGTAATTGTTTCAAAGAAAGGTTATAATGGTAAAGTCAAATGCTGCCAGGTTCATGATGTTGTGCATCACTTTTGCTTGGAGAAGAGTAGAGAAGAAAAGTTTATGCTTGCAGTGAAGGGTCAATATATCCAGTTTCAACCCTTGGATTGGAAGGGAAGTTGAGTGAGCTTCAGTTTCAGTGAAGAGGTTTCCAAGTTTGCATCTCTGGTTTCCAAAACACAGAAGCCTTTCCACCAACACTTGAGGTCTCTGATAAGGACAGATGGTGTAAGAGCTATTGATGTGATTCCCTTCTGTCAGATTAGTGAATTGCGACTTCTTAAAGTCTTGGATTTGAGTTCTTATAGTGTGGATTTTTTGTCGTCAGCTACATTCAAACCACTAAATCTCCTGAAGTACCTTGCTGTTTCGGCAGAGAGATTCTATTTTCATTCAGTATCTCATCTGCCTCATATAGAAACTTTAATTGTGAAGAGTTGTCCTTATGTACTGTTACCAGTGTCTTTTTGGCAAATGGAAAAATTAAGGCATGCTCATGTTGATTGGGCTCTTTTTGGTAATCAGGGACTCTTTGAAGGATCCTCTAAATTGGAAAATTTGAGGATATTAAAGAAAATTAGTGCATTTCCAATTGATAGGGTGGATGTGTTGTCAAGGAGGTGTCCTAATCTTCAACAACTTCATATCGAATTTGATGTACATTCTGCAGATTCTTTTTGTCTCACATTGGAGAATCTTACCCAGCTTCAAATACTTCGCGTTTTCTTTCAGCGGCCCCACATCATTGTATCTGGGTTGCAATTGCCTTCAAATTTAAACAAGTTGGTACTTAGAGGAATTCATATAGAAAGTGCTATTCCCTTCATTGCGGGACTACCAAGCCTGGAGTATCTTCAATTAGAAGAATGGAATTATGCAGAAGGGGAACCAATTTTTCCTCAATCAGAAGAGTGGTGCCTTGGAGATATCACGGTCCATAACCTTAAGTTCTTGAAACTGGTGCGGTTAGGTATCTCAAAGTGGGATGCCTCGGAGGAATCATTTCCCCTGCTTGAAACACTTGTTATAAAAAATTGTAGTAAGCTAGAGGAGATCCCCCTTAGCTTTACCGATATTCCATCATTGAAACAGATTAAGTTGATTGGGTCTTGGAAAGTATCTATGGAGGCTTCAGCTGTGAGAATTAAGGAAGAAGTCGAAGAGATTGAAGGATGTGATCGTATACACCTCGTCAAAGAACTGGCAGATTAGTGAGGGTTTTAATAGCTAATTATTGCAGCCATGCTCATACTGAAGTCTAGCCCATTCTCTTTTATTGTAACACGACTACTATTTGCTATGTTTGTTTTAATTGATAAAACTCTTTTTATGTATGATTGGAGACAAATATATATCAGTTGGTCTTTCACTGATTTCTTGTTTTTATGCAGCTTTATACTTTTGACCAATTTCTCTCCATTAACATCTTGATAGCTCAATACACATCAACCATGTTGTTGTTGTTGTTGAGTACTTCTTGATTTTCTAATTCGATGAACGATCCGAAAAAGCTCAAGGTTAAATTTACTGCTTCTTGTTGCTGGAGAGGCAATATTTTTCAAAGTTTGGACAGATTCTTCTCTGTTCCCTTTGATATAAAGCCATATAGGAGATTCATTAACAATGAAATGTACTAACAAATGAGTGTAAAATTGTAGGCAAACTAGTTCAAAGAATTCTCTTTTTATTAAAAAAAACCATCCTTTTTAGAACATAAATTTCTTCTATGCGTAGTTGGCTCGTGGTTCAACTAATACGCACAATCATTTCACTCCTGAGCTGTCCA